GCTGGAAAAGATCAGGACCATTAGGACAAATGGGGGGGACCTTTGACAAGCCGCCGCAAAACTGTCCTCATCGAGGCCACTATAGTGTTAGTGGCCCTCGGGTAAATTCAGTTCCTGGAGGGGTGGGTGTCGCCGCTCCATCCAGTTGGGAAGTTGTTCATCAGTGTTGCAGTGTACACTGGACTGTCGCTTGTCACTAAACTTAGTTTTTAAACTATTAAATTGATGAAATAATATTACCTTATACGCGAGAATAATTCTGAATACGCAGTGCGATAAAATTGACGAACGCGGGTTGGGCGGCGGCGTAGGCAAGCCTGGCCTGAGGACAGGCAACTGTAAATGCTTCGCCCTCAACACACTTCAAGTGTAAATAATTGCCAACAGAACCTAAATACCGAACCTACTATACGGCTAATTAAACATAGAATATATAATTAATTTATATACGATAAAAACTATTTTTAATACACAGTACATGAAAGTCGATAATAAATGCGTCTTCGGAGGGAGGCGGTTGGGGGGGGGGGGAATCGACCGCTGCGTTAACGAGCCTAGCCTGGGGTGGTTTAACACTCTGGGAAGTGTATTCTACATAATATCCTACCCATATAATGTTGGCAAGTCACGATCAACAAAATCTTCCACAATATCCGAGAGAGGGCCAACTATTTAGCATTAGCGGAATACAAACATTTGAATACTTCAGAACCCGGATGAAAAAAAAAAATACGGAAACAATGATCCTCGGAGACATTACGAAAACTCAATGTTATAATTAGCGAACAAATGTATAATGCATTAAGCATTGTAGGTGGAGGTAGACCTCCCAACTGCTCAGATAGCAAAAAAAAATTATCAGCCTTACCTACACGGGAGCGACATACTTACGCCGTCGCTGCTTCCTGACGACTGGCGGGGTCATATAGTCGATGACCCGCGTCCAACCGACCCAGAGACCCTCTGCCTAAAATTATTTGAACGTCATATTGAAATTCCTAGTAGCGTATAGCGCCAGGAGTGTGTAAATTAATATTTATATGCATTATAGGCCTTTCTAAAGTAATTTATAGATATGAATATTATATATTGTCTAACAAACGAATTATTTAGGTTAATATTTTAATTTTGCCAGATTTAAGTTTCATCGCACACAAGAAGATTCGTCAGCGGATTTTTTATTTATTTTTTTTATTTATTTTTTTTATTTATATATAAAAAGAGTTCTTAAATTCTAGTAAAGCCACTAGCATGCATAGCGTTTCGGGCAAGTCCTTAATCCTAATGTTTTCCTCGGAAAACGACCCGCCAAATAGGCCAAACAACCAATTCTCTGCTGGGTGGACAGTTAAGGATTGTCGCCCGGCCAGCAGGTCAAAGCACTGGCGAAGAGCCGGGCGCGTGCTTTACCACTGCGCCACAGAGACTGTTCCGTGGCGTAGTGGAATTTTGAATTTTGAAACCTGACTAACCCAGCTCAACCCAACCTAACGTAACCCAAATCAAACCAATCTAATCCAACCGAGCTCAATGCAGCCTAACCTTAATAACATAATCTAATACAGCCTGGCACAACAATACACCCGGTTTTAAAACAGAAAATTTGTTTAGCCTGTAACGTACGATTATGTTACGCTGTTGAGTAGATTAGTTAGACAGTGTTTAGTGAGTTTTCATATTTATTTAGTAGTCCTGGATACAGCAGTGTCGTAGACGTTGAGACGGGGCTTGGAGCAGAGCAGAGAGCTGAGTGAGACCGGAGTCGCGGAGCTCTATGTGGGAGAGCGTGGCGGCTCGATTGGAGAATCTTGAGTGTCTGAACTCATGGGGATCGAGCGAGAGCATTGTAGCTGGATGCGGTCATAGTCTGCTGTCTGCTCTGTGTCGAAGCTTGTAGCATCTTGGGGTCGATTAAGACTGTACACGCCGAGTGCTACATTCTTGAGGTTGAAGAGGTGAGGTAAATTCAAAGTGTCTGTACTGGAGTTATCTGAATCACTGTGGAAATTGGTGGAAATTGGTTCGCTCTTCGATTGATTGATTGATGAAGATTAAGCCACCCAAAAGGTGGCACGGGCATGAATAGCCCGTAAGTGGTGGCCCTTTTGAGCCGTTACCAGTATCAAGAGCTGATACTGGAGATCTGTGGTGGTGCGACTGCACCCTGCGTGACGGGAGATGTCTCCCGTGTCTCTTCTCATATCGTTTGCTTATATATGGTGACTACATGCAGTACCTCAGCTCTCTCCAACAGGATGAAAAGAGTATTACCTGTAATTGGGGAAAGAATTATAGCTTCTGTAATTAGTGCTAATTAGTTATGCCATTAAGATAATGAGAGACTGGAGCGAGTATAATGTTTACTCGCTACACTTATATTCGGTGACTACACCTCAGCCTCCTCCAACCAGGATGGAAAGAATGTTACCTGTGAATAGGGATAGGATGTTGACCAGACCACACACTAGAAGGTGAAGGGACGACGGTCTCGTCAACATACTTCAGCCACGTTATTGTGACTCTTCGCCTGCACAGGGATAGGATTATAGCTTGTGTAGTTAGGTTCGAATCCTCATCACGGCCATTGTGGATTTGTTCATGTTTTTATGAGTTTTTATGAAACGTTTTTAATAAACGATTTATGAGTTATTCACTAGTGTTAAATATGAAAACAAAAGAGTGAAATTAAGTGCCAGGACAGTCTCACCTCGCCTCAACTGAAGACAGCTGAACAAATCCACAAGGGCTGTGACGAGGATTCGAACCTGCGTCCAGGAGCATCCCAGATACTGCCTTAATCGACTGAGCTACGACAGGGTTAAAAAAGAGTTGAAACCGAAGTTTTACTGAACTTACTGGATCCCGTAGCCTCTCCGAGGCACAAACCAGGATTTTACACAACTCCCCCCTGCACCCGAGCTATGTCAATAGGCCGTTCTCCCTCTTCGCCCTTACACGTGTAATGATGTAAGGGCGAAAAGGGAGAACGGCCTATTAACATAGCTCGGGTGCAGGGGGGAGTTGTGTAAAATCCTGGTATGTGCCTCGGAGAGGCTACGGGATCCAATAAGTTCAGTAGAACTTCGGTTTCAACTCTTTTTAACCCTGTTGTAGCTCAGTCGATTAAGGCAGTGTCTAGGATGCTCCCGGACGGAGGTTCGAAGTCTCGTCACGGCCCTTGTGGATTTGTTCATTTGATGCATCACGTTAGTGTGATCCCTGTGTGTGATGAGGACAGCTGCTTTGCCCTCCCTTGGGGACAAAGCCATAACAACGTGTTATTGTTGTGTTATTGTGTTATACTTTACGGTGTCTCTTTTCTTGCCAGATTTTTCTTCACCTTTGTCTTCTTGTTCACTTTTCTATTTTCTAATTTACATTACTTATACCCCCTTTTTTTACTATTAATACCCATTTTTCCTATTCTTAATTTTTCTTCATTTACTTCTAATCTTTTCTTTACTGCACCTATTCTCTTTTTCCTCTTTATTTTTACTTTTTGTATCCTTATCTTATTCTTACATTTCATCTTATTCTTCCCTACTGGTCCTCCCCGGGCCCTTGGACCAGTACCTACAGTGAAGACACATTGACACGTCTGAGGTCAAGTACGATAAGAAAGTCAAATAAAAACTTCCGAGTATTATTAATTACGCCCATGGAAAAGCTGTATGAATTTATATATGGAAACCATATACAGAAAATATTTCACCAGAATGTGAGGACGGAAGCCACACTCACATATTGGGGTCCCTGGTATTTATACGACACAAATCATGGTCAAAATAAAGGGGAAGAATAACTACCATTAACAGTCACTTGTTACTCTCGGTAAGTACTCCACTTGACCATTTACTTGAAGTCCAATAACAGTGTTCCATTAGCATTACACGCTCTAACGTTAACATTCCTTAGCGCTCCACTAGCACGCTTCTGGTGTTCCTGTAGCCCGCTTACGGTGCTCCACTAGCATGCTCCAGTGACATCATCAAACGCTTCGTTCTTCAATTGTTCTACCAACGTGTTCTAGCACGTTGGCAGAACATGCTACAACCAGGATACGGTTCTCACTTAACATGACGTCTCACAGTCGACCGACTTAATATTGCTCGAGCTCCTTCTTCAACCCGTCCTCGACTCAAATCCATTACTTCCAGCGGTCGACCCCACAAACGCATTCATAATTTTTTACATACTATTCATTCAAAACGGGAATTTTCTCAAATATAAATGGATAGTTTAATATATTAGCATATTGTTTTTATATAGGCATAGGTTAGGTTAGGTGTTTAGGTTCTGTTGGCGATTATTTGTATTTGTAGTTCGTGTGTAAAGAGTTCTTCATTCATAAACAGGGGGTTTGGCGGGTGCATGGAATCACTTTTGGATCTTTGTTTGTTGGACGGGCTGCCTTCCTTCCCGTGCTGCCCTTCACCGGTTCCTCGCGTCGACTCTCGTCCTTGCTGAACAACAGACTACAGTGACCAAAATATTATCAATAAGAGGGGTACAACTTACCCAACTTGGTACACGAAACCTAGATGGCGCTGCAACGGGATTAATCCTGAACCTTAGATGGCGCTGCGGTTCGTCACAATGTATCACTACTAGTGTACCAATTCTGCTACACCACCACTAACTGGTGTACCGCTACTACTTCTGTACCACTACTCCTATTGTACCACCACTACCACTTTACCACAACTACCTTACTACTACTACCACTGTACTACTACTAGTTCCACCAATATGAATGTACCACTATGTCCAAGTACTAGAACTGGCAAAGTGAGTCAGTGCCATGTGCCACTAAGAATGTACCATAGTTATGAATGCACCACTAAGAATGTACCACAGTTATGACTGTACCAATGCTACAAGTGTACCAATGTTATTGAAGTATCACTGCTCCTGCTACTTAAATAATATTTGCATTACCATCACATTCACTACTTTTTTTTACTATATTTAGTGAAGGAAATGATGCAAAACTTTAGGAATATTGTATGTATATATATATTTATATATTCATTTACATTTATGTATCTATATACCTTTCATACAAATAATACAATGATAGCAACGGATTGAAAAGGCATCCTCCTGAATTATTAATAATAACAATAATCACACAAATAATTATTATTACACTTCATATATGGAATAATTATGAAGTGCAGGAAGAAACCTGTGCCTTGGTATACAGAGAAGTAACAAAGAAATAGCCCTCTTTTGTGACCTGTTTGTGAGTCTTGGGACGAAGGGGGTGATTTGACTTCGTTTCACACGTTTGTTGAGCAACGTAGTTAAAGGGAATCTCGTTATGTGGTGTTAAGAGACCCAGCGGACACAATATACAAGAGTAACGTCAAATCAACGTTGGTTAAATGTTGCAGACGTTGATGACAATGATTCAATTTCGGACCAACGTCACTCTTGGGTATTGTGACCCCAAGTACTGGGTTGTTTGGGAGTCATTACGTGTATCAACATGAGGCATTTAATTAAGTTATTCTATAGACATCAATTATTGCAATCAGACAATTATGGACGTTTTATACTAATAATACTTTTCAAGTCTTCCTGCACAGTGTCACTATAGCATTTTACAATTTTCTTCAATTACCTCCTATAGTAATGTTTCTGACAGTTCATGTACTTGCATCTCTGAAAGACTAAGACAACTGACTGACTAGAAGACTGACAGAAATGACTGGAGGAGTGAATTTGACTCGGAGAAATTATATTTATTCTGATATGTAGTATTTCCGTTAGATATTTCTTGTGGGTAAGTGAGCGATGGATTTTGTGTTCTGTTATTCAACTATCTGACTTATGACTGCTCTTTATATATATATATATATATATATATATATATATATATATATATATATATATATATATATATATATATATATATATATATATATATATATATATAAACTCGAGGGAGAAAATGTGAAGCATGCATGATCTCCATGTTTAAATACTTTATATCTGTGAAGATAGGTGAAGACAATGAAGAAAACCTTTAACAACCTATTTTAACATAATTCTAACATAACAGAATTTTTTAGCATAATTATAACCTTGATATGTTATATTTTGAACAATAACAAGGCTGAAAGAATCCTGTCTTCTCACCAAACTTCGTCCCCTAAGAAACACAGCCAAAAACTCCTTAAGGACTTGACAGAAAATTTGTGAATACTGTATAGTCAATCCTCATAGACACATTTTTGTTATATTCTCAAACAACATACGTTGCCTTGATTTGTTTACAAACAACAACAATAATAAAAATATGACGAACATGTTTACAAAATAATATATACAATACTTTGGCATAAAATTGTTGGTGCTAGTGTGTTGCATAGTGTATGACGCCCCAACGTGTGTTTAAACACCTGTACAACACCTCACTAGTTTTATTTTACATTTTCACCCCATACATTATAGGCTTTGATTTTAAATCACTCGACATTATATCTTCAGCTTTCCATTGATCAGCTAGAAAGTTAATTAGTTAAATTTATATATAATACCCGATATGAGTTCATTTTTAGCTGCACATCGATTTATTTTTTGTAATAAGCATGAGATTGATATCTAGTTTTATATTGCATAAAATACAATATATCAGAATTCATTCAAAATGGGTACATTTTCCAGAGTTCAGTAAAGTCAATTTCTCTTGCTGTACTATTATTTTTGTTCAAGGAAGGGTAATCAGTGGTGAGATATTTGAACGCTGTAGCATGATGACAGAAGCATTAATGACAGGAGCTCTCAGAATACTGTGATGTAATAAGTGCTATCCAAATACTAGTTTACAGTAAGCTCTGAGCTGTTAATGTGACAGCATCTCCACATATCAGTTGCTCGCTTGACCACATAGTCTTCCAGTGCCCTGCCAAACCGCTTTAGAAGCTTGCAAATGATCAAACCCACACGATGCTCCATCAGCCGAGACACATCTAGCAACATTTGTGCCAGCAACACAGACCATCAATTGCAGACACTGGGGCTTGCATGGAATTAACTAAAACTTCTCTCCCTCTCTTCACTGTAGCGTGAACGATGCATGCTTCGTAATATTTGGTTGTGCACTTAGTTGTACAGTGATATTTACAGTGTGAGGAAGTCTATGTTGGCTTTCACACACTGTCCAGTGAGATGGTCGACCGCCGACGCCTTGACTTCCGTGTCGCCAAATTTCATGTTGACTGTTATCTCCCGCCGGGCAGCACCTCCGCCCTGGGCCTCCTGGCGGTGGTGGTGGCTGCGGGAGGAGGTCAGGTCGAGGTGCAGGGTGCCCACACGCTCGACGCCATCCTCAGTGACGAACTGCAAGAGGGAAGGGAGGGAACTGTTGAGGTGGTCGTCACTACACATTAGATTAGAGAGCTTTATTCGTAACAACTTAAGAGACATTGCTACACTAGTATGAGTTGTTTAAGCAGTTTCACTTAAAAGATTAAGGTATATCAAGCCAGATTTAAATTATTTTAATCCACCCTTTGTTATATTGACCACTAAACATTACCATTTCTATTATTTCAGGTAAGGGGGATATTACACAAATAAAAATGTAATCTATATATACAGTACAGTGACGTTAGAACACAGCATTTTTAATCTGAGTGAAGTGAGAAGCTCAACTTCATTTATAGGTTATATTTTAGATATAAAAGCAATTACCTTTTTCGATTTAAACTTATCCCCATGTATAATTTCATTCTCCTTCCCATTCTAAATCAACAACAAATGTGGAAAAAATTACCTACAGGATGAGAATTAGTAAAATAGATTTGCCAGAACTGATCGAGTTACAGCCAGATCAGAGCCATCTTGGCTTTATTGTTCTTGTGGTGCAGTTCAATAAATTTGTATTTACTTTATCAGAGGTCAGACACACATAATGATATTATTAAAACACAATCAGTATAGGCCTTAAGCTTGCCAGGGAGAGTAAAGTGGCAGCAACTGAAAGGAAAAGGTAAATATACACAGAAAGACAAGCAAATATATCTCACCAAGACTTGCCTCCGGTGTCAGTACGAGGCGGGCACCACACTCGCTCACCTTAGCATCGTGTCTGTGTGTGGCGTACAGGTGCAGGATGACTGTAGACTGCGCGGGCGTGGCGGGTGTGTAGGAGCGCACCACCACGTCTCCCACAGCCACACTCTCGTCCACCACCACGAAGCGATCGAGCACATCAGCGCACCACTCGGCGCCAGCGGCCACCACCCGCTTCTCCGGTGGGTGTAGCCCCCGCTGGTAACGGTTCAGCACACCCACGCCGTAGGTAAGGCGGGACCGACGCACAGTAACCACGCCGGGGTCCAGGCCGAACTGCACGGCGCCTCGCAGGATTGCCAGACCCATGCCCTGGACACCATACAGAGAAATCCAATGCATTGTGTAAATATGATATATCTATGGATTATGAGGCTATGCAAATTAACAAAATAAAACTCATAAATATTAGACCATACAGAACTACTGGCAAAAATATTCTAGGCTCAGGAAACGAGAATAGAGAGCTCGGGTGAATGAGGAGTGTAGTCACATAAGCCTGACTGGTCAACTACACACCTGCGGGATAATAACGTTAACTCTGTGGCCGAAGGTGTCCCGGATGTGCTTCTGCAGGAGCTCCGACTCAGCGAAGCCCCCTACCAGGAACATGTACTGCAGGGGACCCACCTCCGGCGCTGACAACACACACTCTATCGCCTAGAAAAAAGAAAGGTTATAGGAGCTGGGAAATATAACGTTTTGGGTGCATGTAGTTCTCTGGTAACATGATATACTATTTTTATAATACCTCTTAATCCACTTTTTTATTCTTTGTAATGTTAGAGAAAATCAACACGACAAATTGCCTCCCTGCTTCCCTCTTGGGAATGGATACAGTTTAGTTTAGTTCATTTATTATGCACCCCATACCTATCCTAATGGGTTCAGGGACTGAACCTCACAATTCATTTAGCTAAGCAAGTTGCAATCTTGTTGAGCTAGTTACAAAATTGAATGCAATTAGCTGTTTCCTTTATCTTTCTTGCATGAGGTTGTGTTCTGTATTATTAGTCTGACCACATTTGTCTATTTAGGATCCCTAGCAGTGTCATATAGTCCTTTAGTTGCCGTATACAGTCGTAGAACAAACTATAGGGATTTTGTTTCACATACAGTATTCCTATGGACAATACTCGCTCTCTACCTCCCCTCCACCGTCCTCCATGTATCCCCTGCCGTCCTTCATGTATCCCCACACCGTCCTCCATGTATCACCCCCCCCCCACTGTCCTCCATGTATCCCCACACTGACAGTCTCTCACCTGAGTGATGCTGGAGAGTGTTGGCAGGAAGAGCTGCCTCATGGTCTCCTGCTCCACCCTCAACATGCCCTGGGCTGACCACCTCACTCCCAAATGTTGCTGCTTCTTGATCGCCCATTCCACCTGCCACACAGTGTAACAATGTGACTGTCGACTCAAAACAATTACTACTAATGCTACTTTCAAAATATATAACTATAAATAGTGATATGTATAATAAGCTTCTTATTTAAATATCACTAACTTTTACTAACTTGCACTAACTCTTGCAAGACCCTATTTTGTTGTAACATGGGTTCTTGACAGACAGGTATGTTAAAGTCTGTATTGATAACTTTTAGCAAATTACATGAATGAGACTAAATTTACAAATTACAATGCAGTTCCTACAATATAATTAATTATATATATATATGTGGTCACAGCAATATGCAACACTGTCAAAAGTTGTCTGCAATATTTGCAAGCAATTCAATTTCATGGTGGCCCAGTTAGGAGAAATTGTTTATGTCTGTGCAAGTTAAGCAATTAGCACAATTTTACGGTAGGTCAATAAAGTGGCCTTAGTGAAATGACTAACTTTACTCATCATGTTTAGACAGCCTGTTAATGGTGCCTATAACATGATTAATTGGTCAATGGTCACGTAATGACCATCACGTGAGAATGGAAACAAAGCCCGGTTATAGGCTCTTTCTAAAGGAAATTCATTTACATATTTACATACAGCTTTCTTGTATCCCGACGGACCCTTTTTCTAATGCTTTAAATTCATATTTTTAGAAGCTTCTGATTCCCATAATTTATACAGCAGATTCTAAAATTGTAAGTTGATACTGTAAATTATCACTAACAAATTTATAACTTTAAATAAATAATTGCATAAATGTACAATCATATGTGACTAAAGAATTATGTTATTGTGTCTCCAATCCGAACCCTGACATATATTTTTATTATACAACTGTAGGCCTATAACCTATATAGAATAGGGTAGCAGCACATTGCTGTGTATACCTAAGCTTGTTAATAAAAAAAACGTATCAAGCAAGTCACAACTGTATTGTTAATTTCAAAATTAAAGTACCTATTAGATTTAAAACATAAATCAAAATAACATTACACTATTAAAGCATATATATAACAACACTGCACTAGCAAAAAAGCTATCAATTCATATACTGTACATTAAAATATTTTCTGAAAACTTACGTCTTTGCCTTTGAATTTGCGGAATAGATCTATGAAAGAAAATGGCAGGGCGATATTTAAGGGGTTACTCCTGTAAGGTGACGCGTTTCTCTTGCGGGACTCAAAGGCAATCATAAGGTCGACATAAGCTGCTGGTCGCTGCTGTCGAAATGTTGCAAGGAAATCTGTGCCGAAAATTTTCTCCAAAAAATTCTCGAACTCCGCATCCACACCTGCACCATTAATAATAATAATAATAAAAATAATAAAAATAATAATAATAATAATAATAATAATAATAATAATAATAATAATAATAATAATGTAATAATTTCAGTTATGGTAATATCTTATCACAGGCAAAATGACTCGATATAAAAGGCTTACACTTATGTTACTATGTAGTTTATGTACAAAATTTAAATACACCAAGTCTTTCCCACTCAGCTTTATCAAGGTCTGAGTATATCTTATGAACGGGACTTACATCTTAGTTAAGATGCAAGTCCTGTTCATATTCTACGCTCAGGTCTTGTATAAACACTCAGGAGAGTGCGAAAGACTTTTAATGTATTTAAATTCTTTATATATACTACATAGCAACATAACTGAAGTTTTTTTTATCAATATCAATAATACTAATAACAATAATAAAGAAGTTTATTACAATTCTTTGCTTAACACAAATGTTTGATTAAAAGTAAAGATCCAATATATGTGTAAGTGCATTATTAAACCGATTTTTTCGGGTGAACCTACATGCTTTATCAAGGTGTTGTATAAACAGTGTATTGAACAAGGATTCGATTGATTGATTGGTGAAAATTAAGCCACCCAAGAGTAGGCACTGGCATGAATAGCTCATAAAGCATCCATCACTAGACGACTAAGGCACAGCTGGAAACATCCCGTGCGAAGGTTCGAACCCTCATTACGGCCCTTGTGGATTTGTTCACGTTGTTGTGGTCATGCTCCCCAGGGACTTGTGGTGTTGAGAGTGAGGACAATTTTTTCCCCGGTTCGCTGCCCACAGTTCCCACAAAGCAGGACAATTGAGCGATCATATGAAACAGCGGCGAGTCACGACTCGACGCTTTTTCGAGCGTTTCGAGCTCGCTGACTCGAGCGAGTGACCACTCGCTCCCCCTCGGTGAGTCCCTTGGGGAGCGTCGTGACCACAACCGCGTCTATAGTGATGGACGCCGTGTGAGGCGTTCTCCCACACATATAAACACCAGCACTTGGAATCCTTGTTATTGTTCTTCTTCTTGATGATTGGTGCAGGATGTATGAAGGGTTTATCCTCACGATGACTGCGAATCCTTGTTCAATACACTGTTTACAACACCTTGATAAAGGCTGTAGATTCACCCGAACATTCGATTTAATAATACACTTCTACATGTATTGGATCTTTTCTCCACCTTAATAATAATAATAATAATAATAATAATAATAATAATAAAATAATAATTATAATAATAATAATAAAAATAAAAATTATAATAAAATGTATAGGTCTAGCATGCAAACTTAATAGTAAACTAAATAGTTAAGTGAGGTAGCCTGATAAATCACATCGAAATAATCGACGGCCACAACGACAAAACTCATTAGACACAGCTGAAGTACTACATAATAAACAGCTCATCCCCCTATCAAGAGCAATCATGCACTCGGATACACTTTACCATCAACGAAACCCCTGACACCATTAACTACCAACTCACGCCATACCTACATTCGTAATCACGACGAGCAAGATAAAAACAAAAACAAAAACACATATGATAATTACAGTTACTTATACAAAACGTCCACTACGGGCTCACCATAGCCCGTGCTACTTGGAACTTGTTCCGAGTAGCTGAATCTATAACAACACAACAGCCACCTCCAGGCCGTCAAGACATACGAACACCGGGTGAGGATATAATCATCGCTTACCGATGGAGCCGTGAGGTCCTCCTGTGGCCTTGTGCAGCTCCTTGAGGTGTCCGGTGGTCCGGTCCGTCATCTGGTGGACAGTGATGTCGACGGTGCCGCCGCCACAGTCGACCACTGCGTACACCGTGTCTGCGAGAGGAGGGGGTCAACCTGGTCTTACTGAGTGTCACACTATACCTCTCGTGTGGGCGTCCATAACCCCCCTATTGTGTGGGCGTCCGCACCACCGCATTGTCTAAGTGTCTTCACCCCCCCTCCCCACCCTTTGTGTGGGAGAGTTTCTCTACTAATTGTACTATTTTTATTAGATTTATAATTAAATATAATTTAATTGTATTAAATTATATACGCCTGTCCTATTTATCTTTATACCTATTATATGTTTTGTCCTTTTGACAGCGAAACTTGTACAAATTCCAGCTTGACGACAACTGACATGCTGCAAGAGATCCATATTACCCTCACCAATGTACAACTTGTAACCTTTATATATATATAAAAGCAAAACATAAAAAAGGAGGGGGGGGGGGGTAGGACAACAGAACATGGGAACTGCATTAGAAGGGACCTAAAAATCCCCTCTATTACAGTGTGTGTTTTTGTCCTACAAGACTATGGGTCTCCTTCCACCCAAGTTGGTACCCCCGAGATTATATTATATATATATATATATATATATATATATATATATATATATATATATATATATTAATAACTGTATATTAATGTATATGTATGATATCTTCTACTACTGTATATCTATCTACATAAAGCAATAGTATTGCAACAGATACTAAGAAACTTTTGGCTAACACAACATACATAATAAATAAGGTGGGTAATAAAAAATACATTACCAAAACCCAACCACAACAGTTAAAGCAGGTTATACTACCGTGCAAGGTATCATGCTACAAGTATTTAAACCTCAAGAAAAGTTTCTTGTAACAAAACAGCATCTACATCAAACGTGGAAGCCTACCGGAAAAAAAAATAATCTACGATAAACACACACATTAAAACACCCTGGAAACGTTACATGTATTAAGAAAGGTGATGGCAAGCAAAGTCGAGGCTTTGGTGGATATATATATGGTTATATAGTGAGGGTTGGGGAGGACCAGGCCCCCCCCCCTTTGCAGGGGGGGGGCAGTGGCCCCCCTTTGCAGGGGGGGGGGGGGCAGTGGCCCCCCTTTGCAGGGGGGGGGCAGTGGCCCCCCTTTGCTACGGGTATTTGTGCAAATTGGAAGAATAACGGTGGATATTAGTGAGGTGTTTTTCTTCTAGCATTGCCGGTGCTACAGTGATCCGTTAACCAAGACACTACCCCACTTGCTGGTCACGGCCCACATCCACCCCGACCAGTAACACTATAAGCGAAATATGAAAAGGTATAGCCATTAATGTTTAGTTATATTCTGCCAAGGTTAGCCTCTCTACCACAGGCAGGCACTACACCTCCACCAGATGAGTGAGTGAGTGAGTGAGTGAGTGAGTGAGTGAGTGAGTGAGTGAGTGAGTGAGTGAGTGATCAGTACCTTCCCTCAGCCAGTCAGCGACGGTTTCCACACTCCGGAACGGCAGGGAGATGAGCTCCTCTGTAAGACAACTTCAGGGTCAGACTTACAAACATAGCAACAATTATTTGTACATCAATACAGGTGCAAGTACAGGTGTGTGCACAAACATAAGTACAGGTATGGGTAAGGATTTACGGATATAGATACAAGTGTGAATACGAGTACAGGTGTTGAAACGGACATAGTTACAAGAACAGGTGTTGATTCCCGTATATGTAAGGTACATCTAGTTACATATACTATAAGGTAAGGTAATTATCAGGAGAACCCACTAAGCCAGGACGACCATATAGGGTGTGGAAGGAATTCCAGGTTCGATTCCTGAGCAAAACGGAAACGTTTTGGAACATTTTCTTACACCTCATGCCTCTGCTCACCTAGCAGTAAATATGTACCTGGCAACAACTGATGTAGTTTGTACCCTGGGTAAGGTCAGTAGTTGGCACCGCGGGAATTCCATGCCTAAGAGGCTGCCTGTCTCCGGCAAGGAAAAGCCCAACCACTTGGGCTGGACGGTAGATCGACCATATCGCTTCATGCAGATCGACGTTCAATCCCCGACCGTCCAAGTGGTTGGGTATCGTTCCTTTCCCCCATCACATCCTAAGTCCTTATCCTGATCCCTTCCAAGTGTTATGTAGTCGTAATGGCTTGGTACTTTCTCCTTATTAGTTCCCTTCCCCCTTCAGGTAAGGGAAACCCAATTGGAATATTTGCGCACTAAACACGATATGAAATTAGCGAGGAACTTAAAGTAAATTAACCACAGCTGAACAGACATTGATCACAGTGTTAAGTTAACGTCCTTCACTGAGACTGCAACAAGAACACATACTACCTACACAGGTCATACACACTTGGAAAGGACTAGACAACAGCTTCTTCTCCCACCTCCCAAACACACACACACACACACACACTTACCTTTAACCTGTGCAGGCGATGAGTCACAGTAACGTGGCTGAAGTATGTTGACCAGACCATGCACTAGAAGGTGAAGGGACGACGACGTTTCGGTCCGTCCTGGACCATTCGACTTAAGATCGACTTGAGAATGGTCCAGGACGGACTGAAGCGTCGTCGTCCCTTCACCTTCTAGTGTGTGGTCTGGTCAACTACCTTTAACCTGTTTGATACCTACCACTTTGTGGCAAAAGGCATGTAATCTTTGTGATCATGGAGATGAACGTACCTCTGTCTAGCTCAGGTATGGCAGGTGTGGGTGTGGAGTCAGAGGCGCAGAGGGAGTCCCTATTGATGGAGTTTCTGGCAGTACGAGTCTCTGGGGGCCGCTCAGGCAGCAGTTGGTGACGACGAAGACGGCGGCAGTAGATGGCAGCGGCTTCGGGCTCCAGCGCTATCAGGAGCTGCTCCGGCCGGCTGGCGGAGCCCATACCAGCCTGGAGGATGGCCAAGCGTGGATTAGAAAATGTCAGAAAAGTGAATATTGGGGAGACTCTATAAGGTACAAGCTCTCAAGAACCCGGGAATACAGAGAGTGAGGCTCTTGATTGAATATAATACAGTATCTCCAGGTCCATATACATATGAGGCTATGAGGAAGACCTGGTAGGCGGCGGTCCTCATGAACTGCTTGGCAGGGTGGCTCCAGATGGCGGGCACAGTGATGACCCAGCGGACGTCCTCCTCTAGCACCGCCACGCCCGCCTGATCCGTCAGCTCGCGCAGGGCGTGGTCCCTGAAGTACCTGAGGGCGTGGCTGAAGATCTGTAGCGCCTCCACCTTCTTGCCGTTGGCGGCCTCCAGTAGGGTGTCGCGGCTCAGACTCTGCCGAGATGGGGTAGTGAGGGGCTGGGAGCGGGAAGGATCCTCAACTAGATCCTTACTATGCTAACAAGATGGACAGGTCGTCAAGAACCAGCACAACTACCTAACAACGGGGCCCCAAATCGGTTTGAGTCGCAGAAAGCACACGAAGGATGTACAGGAGAGCAACCTTGAGCATACCTGACTCCACCAGGTAATGCTCCACCACTCCACCAGGTAATGACTCCACCACCCCCAGACTCGGGGGACACTAAAAGCTCCGAAATCAAGATAACCTCAAGATAACCACCAGGTAACCACAGCCTTCCACCGGACCTCCATCTCCACAGGAAGTCCCACGCTCGCTCAGTTTCACGGGTATTGCGCAGTTGCTTGACCGGGAGGCCAAGCCGGACGCCAGCGAGACGAGGAGTGACTACGCACTCTGGAGTATAGTGACCAGGTGTGGTGACCATGTGTGGTAACCAGGTGTAGGGACCAGGTGTGGTGACCAGGTGTAGTGACCAGGTGGCAAATCTTGTGGGATAGTTGAGGTGAGGACTCAGGGAGAGGGAGAGTAGCGAGGGTAAACAGCAACTCAACAACACAGCCTGTGCTTGACAGTACAGTGTTCCCCACTTCAAACCCACAGTAAATAGCTACTTTCTTCCTCACTACTCTCATACTAGATCAAACGCTGTTAGCTCTTGGACCCGGTCTTTTTAACCAATCTATTTTTCCTCTAGTATGTCTACTACATATATTTCTCTCTCTAACACACTCACACACATTCCCGGGAAGCAGCTGTCTAACAACAAGGTACCTATTTACTGCTAGGTGAACAGGGGCACCAGAGTGAAAGAAACTCTTCCCATTTGTTTCTGCCTCTACCGAGGATCGAACCCGGGCCTTTAGGACTACGACCCCAGAGCGTTGTCCACTCAGCAGCGAGGTGTGTGTTAACATACACGTGTAGTATCACCATGGATATTTTCAACAGTATTAGGTCATCAGGACGCCAGAATAGTAATGATATATAACCTTCACCAGCACCCGGACCTCCTTCCTCTCCACCACCACGCCACTTATACCCTCCACCCTCGTCACAACCCCCACCACCACACCCACTGCCACACCTACACCCCCCACCACCACACCCACTGCCACCCCTACACCCCTCCCCCCCACCACCACCACACCAACACCCACCACCGCTATATTTATTTATTTATTTAGCTGTATGCCGACCTAATACTGAAGTCATGGTCATATTCGACTCCGAACGACGAACATCAGATTCATTTATTTATTTATTTTGTATTTATTTATATACATGAAGGTACATTGGGTTGTGTTGTGGCTACGCCACTGAGTCAGGCTCGTGCTCCAGTCACAGTTAATCAAAATCACAGTAGCGTATCAATATCAATAATAATCTTGGTATCATAAAGTAAAACAACTATGTGTAAAATGGGAACACCAGTTTACTCTGGGGTAGGAACACAATATAATATATCCAAGAATTAATTGAGACATTACACAATTATAATTAAAAATATGGCTGATGACCACTGACACAATGTACCAAGGGGAAAATGGCTTAACACTTAATCACATGTATACCAACCACAAAGCAACACTCAGACTCCAGAACAAATCACAATCTACTTAACTCAAGAGTCACTTCCAGCCACTCGAGCCCCCCCCCCCTTCTCCCTGCACCTGACTCACGCTGCCCCCTACCCTCATCACCTCACACGTCAGCGTGACTCAAGACTCACAACAAGACTGATAAAACATCTTACCAGCCACACTTCCACACTGAGACAAGTACCTAGCCTAACATGCCATTATACCTCCTGTCTACAATATAAATAATGATCTGTGGGGAATAACATTGCTGTACTTTTGAAGTTAAATGGCAGATAGTGTACCCCTTACTTTTCCACCTCCCCTTCCCTACAATTCTCACCCTCCATCTACTCTCTCTCTTACTCCACCTACCTTCATGCTAAACTCATCTACCCATAATTCCTCATTGTACTTATGGTCTACTTACCTTATCTACCAAGGCACTCGTCCCTCACCCTGTGTAACAAGGCACCTTTGCCTCACCTGGTCATCGTGCAGGACCATCTTGAACTTGTCGAAGTAGAGCCACCGCTTGGCATCTCTGGGGTCCAGGTCGTGGTAGGTGTCCCTGGCGGTGAAGCCCAAGGAGTGGAAGGCGCCCTCTGGAGTCAGCAAGACGATAGTTGGGGTCTTCTGGTTCTGTACCCCGGGGTCGCCGCCTGCGGAGCAAACACACGGACTTGTAGAGGAAGCCTCCAGTGAGGAAGAGAGAGATATGGGAAGGGAAAGATGAGAGAGAGAGAAAAAAAAATGGGGGAGACTACCCTAGTCTAACCAGAGGACCTACGAACAGAAAACGGGACAGAGAGACTTGGCGGGCTTGCGGGCCGCAACGCTCTGTATACAGAAGACGCTCTATTAAACATTAAATAAAGGTCATTATAACCACCTGGAGAGAAACAACAGACAGCAGTTAGCATGTAAACAAAGCGATCATTCAGCACACAAGCCGACAAAGGAGTGGAGACGTGCGCAAGGTAATTATATGAGGCGGGATGCTTTCAACAACCACTTCCCATCAACTATTTGAAGGATGTAATCAGTTCTTGGATTGGAAATGGTGGTTGTCGAGTTGTGGTTGGTAGTGGCGGTGGTTGTAGCACTTGCACTGATGGTGGAGGTGGTGATGGCAGTGTTGGCGTCATTAGACTCGTGGTGGTGGTGGTGGAGGTGGTGATGGCAGTGTTGGCGTCATTAGACTCGTGGTGGTGGTGGTGGTAGTAATAGTGGTAGTGGCGGTACTAGTGGTGGTGGAGACAATGTTGGATGTAGTGGTGGTGACAATAATGGTTCTGTCAGTGGTGGTGGTTGGTGTAGTAGTGACTGTGGTGGTGTTGATAGCAGTGGTGGTTGAGGTAGAGGCAATAGTGGTGGTGAGGATTGTAGCAGTAATAGTGGTAAGGGACTGTTTGTAGCAGTATCGGTGGAAGTGGTTGTAGTCGAGGGAGGTGGGTTGTGATAACATAAGTGGTGGTTTTTACCAACAGCAGTGGTGGCAGTAACAACCCATAGTGAATGGGTAAACCCCAAACAGTCCAGGTGAATGGAATGTTTATTACCACGGAAGTGTGGATGGCAATTTATACCCATAGTGGTGGTTGTGGTAGTGCTACAGTCTGTTGTTGCTCCCGTTACCAGGAGCTCCTGTTTCTGTGCTCTCGTAGGCATTGTTTGCATCGCTAACAGACCTAACACCCACTCCACAATGTTCTTCTGTTAGCTTCCGTCACCGCACTTGGCGGCCTGTCTGTGCCACTGCTTGCTTATAAAACACTGCTTGTTTATACCAAGTTTTATACCAAATATACTTGTTTTTTGAATCATTTCCTACGTGCACCATACTGCTTGCATAGTTCCTAACTCCTGGGTGTCTGAGTAGTATGCCCCAGGGCCGCAGACGCCTGTTGATACACAGGCGTCTGTATCAACCCACCCTCAACACACTGATAAACAGCAATAGATGTAATCCCGCCTCCATATACGGTATTTGATTCGTAGATGACACCTGACCCGAGTCCCGGCTTGCAGTCCTTGGCGGTGCTGGAATGTGTGAACTCCCACTGGTGTTATAAGTGGTTGTCCTCGAAATCATAATTCTGTTTACTAAGCTTCTGTCGTGAATGACTCTTGGATCACACAGGGTATGTGGTGGGATAGGGCATGGCTGGCAGGGGGGCGAGGGGTTTCAGGGCAGATGTTAGGCTGTAAGCCAGTTGGGGGATCCAGAAAGGAACTAACGGGTACTGTGGGTGTTCGTGGTTCGTTCTGTAATAGTGCGCCCACTCATGGGAACACAATACAACTTTGTATCTCTTCTGGAACACACAACCACCTCTGTATTTCGCCTGACACAACTTCTTAAATAAGCGTCTGTGGCAATTTGAAAGAGTGTGTCAGACAGAAGAAAAAAGGTTAAAAAAAAAAATAGGGGTTTTGCGGAAGCGCAAATCAACACCACCACTGTCACTACTACACCAACCGCATTTACCCATAAACAAAAGCAGAAAGATTTTCCGCTCCAGTGATAGGCTGCACCAGGACGGTGTACAAGATGATATTATTTACTGGGTCGACCTTCGCCTCGAATTGAGCTTAGGAACAGCGATTATAACAGGACGAACAACAGGTTTTTGTGCGTCATTCAACTGCTGTCACCGTTAGGACTCCCCCCCCCCTCCTGGTATATATTCACTTATCGAAAACAAAAAAATTGAAAGCCCGTTTTCGACGTACTCTCTCTCTCTCTCGTGTCTAAAACACAATATATCTAAATAACAAACCCAAATAAAACACTGCCGGCAACACTCACGCCGTCCGGTCTCACCTGGGATAATTAAGCAGCCCAGCCCACACCTGAGGAGGTCCGGGTCACCAGGGGTACATTTTGACCTTATTCATGTGATTCAATGGCCCGCGCGTGTCCCAAATGGGAATTTCACTCCTATGAGCAAAGTCCTCCAATCATGGTCCGCTCTCCTTCGCTTAGTTTTTTTTTTTTTTTTGTGAGGAGGAGGATGTGGTCTATTGAATGAGCTGCTGTACTGAGCTTTGATGCTGAGGATTTGGTGTCTAACCTTTATTTATGTGTATGCCTGGAGAGGATTTCAGGAGTTCTACAACTCCCCAAGCCTAGCCCCAGTATGTATGGCTGGAGTATACCTGGAACGGGTTTTGGGAGTTCTTCTACTCACCAAGCCCGGCCCGGGGCCAGGCTTGACGTATGAGAACTTGGTTAAATACTGTTGCTTGGAGCGACCCGTACGCCCAAAATGTCCAACACAACCTGGTTGTTCCGGCACTTTTTGCAGGCACTCTTCTAATTGTTTCTTGAACATGTCCACCTTTGTTTCTAACTGTGTTAACGAGAGTTGAGCTTCAACTCTTGGGCTCTGCCTTTGCAACTTTCAATAGACTGGTGTACGAACCCATCTTCAGGATATGCTCGCCCATGCTGCGGCTGAACATACAAGACGTATTCGTCAATTTTTAGCCCAGTGCACAACAACAATCTGTTTTATATAAATTTATTTCCTCGTATATAATTTAAGCGAAACCGCTTTATCGAACCCATCCTGAGGATAGATTGAATTCTGCAAATGTTTCATGACCCACTTCTTACAAATATAAATAAAAAGTGACACTTAAATTTTAACTACATCTGACAGAAACAAAACGTGTCAGTTACATGCCATCAGACACCACTACCGAGAAAGCCCGAAATATCTGACTCGTGGTTTCAGCAAGTAATCAGAGATGTCACCAAGCTGTAAATCTGCCAAATGTAGCAAGACTAAAATCCAATTAATCTGGTTCGCCCTTAATAATATTTGCCAACTCTACGCAACCTGCGACCAAGCTTACCACAGCCAAGCCGTGTTTTTCAATCGGGTTTCCGCGAATTTATTTGTATATATCAAACATAAATTAAAAATATATATATATATTGTGTACGTTTATATAGTTTGAGTGTTCCTCGGTATATGAAAAAGTATTGCGGGAGTCTTGCTATGGCAAAAAAGAAAGGTTGGGAATCACAGAACCCTTTCAAGGTATGTCCATGTATATCCAGGCAGACCATAGTTACAACATTACCATAACCCATCCAATCCTGGAGAGATTGTGGGCCGGTCTTGGAGCGATGTGGGCCGGTCTTGGAGCGAGACATGAACCCAGCGATAGGTGACTTAAATGGGGATTTCGATGTGGATTCAATATATAACTTATTTAAGAATATTCTAAACATAGCACAGGAACGTAGTATACCATACAAATTGAATAGATCGAATACTAATGACCCAAAGTGGATAACAAAGAATTTGAAGAACCTTATAGGTAAAAAGAGAGCTTGGTACAAAAGGATTAAAAATGGGGAGGTCACTTTAGAACAGGAATTCGTACAACTGGTTAGAAATGTTAAAAAAGAGATAAGGAAAGCAAAAAGAAACTATGAAGTCCGCATAGCAGGGCAAGCAAAGACAAATCCTAAAGGGTTTTTTCAGTTATATCGTACTAAGACTAGGGAAAGGATAGGTCCATTAAAAACTGAGACAGGTCAAATAACAGATAGTGATGAAGAGATGAGTAGTATTTTTAATAAATATTTTGTATCTGTATTTACTAAAGAGGAACTTAACAATATGCCTTCAGCCGAACAAGTCTATGTGGGTGGGGACGAGGACAGGTTGACGAGTTTAGCAGTTACCAGGGAGGATGTTCTTAAACAAATAGTAAAACTCAAACCAAACAAATCCCCAGGGCCGGATGAAGTGTTTGCCAGGGTGCTTAAAGAATGCAAAGAGGAGCTTTGTGACCCACTGTCAACCATATTTAATAAATCAATAGAGTCAGGCAGAGTGCCAGAGTTTTGGAAAGTTGCTAATGTGATACCAGTTTTTAAAAAAGGAGATAGATCACTTGCGTCTAACTATCGACCAATTAGCCTAACGTCTATTGTGGGAAAGTTACTCGAATCTATAATAGCAAATAAAATTCGTCTTCATCTTGAAAAATATAAATTAATAATTGAGTCGCAACATGGTTTTATAAATGGCCGTTCATGTTTAACAAATTTGTTATCTTTTTATTCTAGCATTGTTGAGGCAGTTGATAGTGGTAAGGATTGCGATGTTGTATACCTTGACTTTAGCAAAGCTTTTGATACAGTACCACATGAAAGACTGATTAAAAAAATAGAGTCTCATGGTATTGGGGGTGCTATATTAAGCTGGATTAGGGCATGGCTATACCAAAGGAAACAGAGAGTTAGTATAAATGGAATCAAGTCAGAGTGGGAAAATGTTGTAAGTGGAGTGCCTCAAGGCTCTGTCCTGGGACCTCTGTTGTTTATAATATATATAAATGATTTAGATTCAGGTTTGAGTAGCAACATTTGCAAATTTGCCGATGATACGAAAATCGGTAGGGAAATTAATTCGGAGGAGGACTCACTATCACTTCAAGTTGATCTAGATAGGGTTTTGAAATGGTCAAAGGATTGGCAGATGCAGTTTAATGCTGATAAATGTAAAGTTCTGAGGTTAGGTAATGATGATAGAGTTACAAGATACGAGCTAGATGGTGTTGTGATTGCGAAGTCGGATTGCGAAAGGGATCTGGGAGTTATGATTAGTAAGAATTTAAAACAAAAGGATCAATGCATAAATGTTCGTAATAAGGCAAATCGGACACTTGGATTTATTAATCGCAGCGTTAGTAACAAGACACCTGGTGTGGTTCTCAAGCTATATCTTGCTCTAGTTAGGCCCCATTTAGATTATGCAGTTCAGTTTTGGTCGCCATATTATAGAATGGATATAAATTCACTTGAACGTGTCCAGCGTAGGATGACTAAGTTAATTCCCCAAATTAGAAATCTTTCATATGAAGAAAGATTAACAAAGCTTAAGTTGCATTCACTGGAAAGGCGAAGAGTTAGGGGTGACATGATAGAGGTTTACAAGTGGATGAATGGACATAACCGGGGGGATATTAATAGGGTATTAAAAGTATCAACACAGGACAGAACACGAAACAATGGATATAAATTGGATAAGTTTAGATTTAGGAAAGACTTGGGTAAATACTGGTTCAGTAACAGGGTTGTTGATTTGTGGAACCAATTGCCGCGTAACATTGTGGAGGTGGGGTCCCTCGATTGTTTCAAGCACGGGTTGGACAAGTATATGAGTGGGATTGGGTGGTTATAGAATAGGAGCTGCCTCGTATGGGCCAATAGGCCTTCTGCAGTTACCTTTGTTCTTATGTTCTTATGTTCTTAATCATAATCTAGCACCAGAACCATTTCATATCAATTCAACCAATACTAACAAATCCTCCAGCAGGCAGACAATCTATACTAAACCGCGGATGGATACGTTTCCTGGGTTGGTCGTGAGGATGACGGACGACTTGCTCCGCTCCAGTTAAAACCGACGTGGAAGGAGGGGGGGGGGGAGTGGGGGGCGGGAAGCCCTGTCACCTTCTTGCCCCTGCACTCTCTCCATCTCCCTCACACTTCCATCTATCATCCCAGTTCTTACCTTCCTCTCCCCGTACCACATCCAGGACCCTCAACCTCCCCTCCAGTCAACCGGTAAACCCCGTCCTACATACAATCTTCTACGTACGAAGGATTTGTAAACTCACAACGCCTACGGTGTTGTAAGTTTACGATGCTTCACCTTGCTCCACACACGCACGCAGGACGCACCACACGGCTGAACGTGTCCAGCGTAGGATGACTAAGTTAATTCCCCAAATTAGAAATCTTTCATATGAAGAAAGATTAACAAAGCTTAAGTTGCATTCACTGGAAAGGCGAAGAGTTAGGGGTGACATGATAGAGGTTTACAAGTGGATGAATGGACATAACCGGGGGGATATTAATAGGGTATTAAAAGTATCAACACAGGACAGAACACGAAACAATGGGTATAAATTGGATAAGTTTAGATTTAGGAAAGACTTGGGTAAATACTGGTTCAGTAACAGGGTTGTTGATTTGTGGAACCAATTGCCGCGTAACATTGTGGAGGTGGGGTCCCTCGATTGTTTCAAGCACGGGTTGGACAAGTATATGAGTGGGATTGGGTGGTTATAGAATAGGAGCTGCCTCGTATGGGCCAATAGGCCTTCTGCAGTTACCTTTGTTCTTATGTTCTTATGTTCTTAGACCAGCACCGGGGTAAGGCACTCTGGTACTCACCTTCCCACTTCTTCATCATGTGGACACTGTCGGGGTCACGCGTGAAGCTGAAGGCGTAGCCGCTGTAGGTGGTGCCGAAGTCTATGGCCACCACAACGAAGTGCGTGGGCGGCCGGGGGTCTAACACGGCGGTTCCCACGCCCACGGTGCTGACAGGCTCTCCCACCACAGCCACGCCCACGTCGCCATCTAACACACAAGCGCCGCGGCAGGAATGCAAGCTGGAGGTGCGGGAATGGGTGAGAGAGGAGGGGGCGTTGGGTGCCGTGTGTGGGGCGTGGGGTGAAGGTGGCGGGGAGGTGGCATCGTCAGCGGTGAGGGTGCCACAGGGGCTGGTGGCGCCGCTCTCGTGCCCACTATCGCTGTCCCCTGGCACCGTGGGCGAGTCTGACGACCTTCGCGTGGGGCTCAAGGAGTGCCTGCCGCCCGCGCCGGGCTTGACGGTGCCCTGGGGCGAGGGCGCGTAGTGTACGCCAGGGTAGTAGGCGTGCATGGACACGGACGACTGGGGCACGGTGCGCACGTATACCTCCTCAATGAGGTTGAGGCTCTCAATGACGGCCTCCTTGGTGGGCTGTTGCTGGCACCCACCATCCTGGACCCGCCCACCACCCACCGTGGGCAGCGGCCTCCCACCGCCCACTCCGACACCGTAGCCTCCTGCCGACACCCTGGCTGCGTCTTCCCTGCTGCTGGCGTGGCTCTCACCCCCGCGGCTGTAGGTGGCACTCACAGAGTTCACGTGTGTCCTTCCCCCAGGGATACCTGGGTCGTTGGCGTGGGTGCCTGATGTGGTGCTGTAAGTGTCATGTGCCAGGGCGTGGGGAGGCGCGGGCGTGCGTACAGGCGTGGGATCCGGACCAGACTGGCGGCGCTCGACGACGCTGGAGGCGTGAGAGCGAGCGGGAGAACTTTCACCAGAGGAGCTGCTGCTGAGTCCCGCCAGGGAGTCGTCTAGCACCCCCAGCGCCGCCGCCACCGCCTCCGCCTCGCTCCTGGGAGGCGTGTGGCCTCTGATTGGAACGTAACTCCTGCAAGGCGTGTAGCCTCTGCCGGGCGTATAGCTTATAACGGAGGCGTGTGTCCTGACGGGGACTTTAGGGGGAGACCCGGGTCTCCTGAAGTATACTCCAGCAGCCCGCAGCTCCTCTTCTAACTGAGAGTGGCCTCTAGGGTCTTCCGGAGACGGTGTCAGGCTTCGGAGCTCCTGAGGCGGCGGGGGGCGCGCTGGAGGGTGGTGCTGGCCCCTGGTCGCGGGGCCGAGCATCTCGCTGCAGAAGCCACGGAAGTTGTTCCTGATGAGGGTGGTGGGGGTGGAGAGAGCGCGGCCGTAGCACTCGCACTCGCCGTCAGGCACATCTGAAACGACACAAGAAGAGTTGTTACTATCCGGAAGGAACACGACAAACACACGAGAATAATCTCAGTGCCTCACTGGAGAGGTGAGAACTACCTGACAGCTGGAAAATGTCAAATATCAAACTCTCAAGTATATATATATAATAATGTGGATAGGCCAGCCAATAAATTATAGAACTATCATTAAGAGATATACCATGTGAGTTCATTAGGAGTAAGCACGGGAAATTCTGTGGAACACTTAGGAATAAGTTTTGTTGTAACAAAGTGACAAATTAGGCTCACTAAAAAAAGCCATCTTGCCTGTTTAACTCGCTAGAATTCCATGACAAAATGACAGTGACCAGACTTAAAAACGTAGACTGCATCTTTCTAAATTGTCAGAAACCCATCGACACAGCTAGTTCCCCACAGAATCCCCCCCCCCATACAATACAAACTAAGACGGAAGCAGAAGCAACTTACAAGAGGCAGAGAGTGTGAACGGAGAGAGAGAGAGAGAGAGAGAGAGAGAGAGAGAGAGAGAGAGAGAGAGAGAGAGAGAGAGAGAGAGAGAGAGAGAGAGACAGAGAGAGACAGAGAGAGACAGAGATGGAGAGATAGAGAGAGGTAAGAAGCAGAGTATTATAGATTGGTATTAGGACCGCACTCTTCCTGGTATGTTGATGACAACTGATTGGGATCCCTATGTCAGTGCGGATGGTGAAAGAGTTATAAGGGTATTCGTAACAAGGATTACAACAACTTCTATGTAACTTCTATAATTACAACATAGAAGCGTTTTACAGGTACCGGCAGAGACGACATAAACCAAATGTAAAACATGGGAAGAGACAGCACAAAGGCGCCTAAAGGGGAAACTATCCTAGACTATAACTTCACAAAGCTCCGCTTCGTCTGAAATTCTCGTTAAATTAATGGTTTCATTTTTATAAGAGTCGATCAAGAGAGAGAGATCTCCGATCCCGATGTCACAATATTAATAATACTGTGAATGTAGACGATGAGTCACAATAACGTGGCTGACGATATAATATTAACATCAGAAGATGGTGAAACAACGACGTTTCGGTCAGTCCTGGACCCTTATCAAGTCTTTTGTGAATATAAAAGAAAACGAATATATATATTCTGTGTACATGTATATTGCAAACATGCACTGGGAAGTGGTGAGGGTGTAATTACCGGGGTATGAACTGGGGATGGGTGCAGATACCCGCAAAACACACACACCGAAACTACGACGTTGGTACAATGTTCGAACAAGTTTTAACACCTCCTAACCAGTTATAATAATCAATATAGCAAGTTGTAACAACGTTCTAATACGCCATAAACACGTTAAGCCAAGATGTAACAACTTTATTATAAGTTGTAACAAGCGGAAAATAGAGACAGTTTCGGTTTGTGTTTCCAGGGATATGACCATGAAGTTGGTGGATGATCTTTGGCGGTTAAGGTGTTTTATTTTTTCCTTAACACTGGGGGATTAACTCAACGGTAAAATAATGACAAATATGATAACAATCGTTGAAAATTGAGCTAAGCTGTCCAGTAATAGGGCACAATCATTTGGACTGGTCTGCAGATCGGTCTCGCTTCTTGCAGGGACGGCATTCGATCCCCAATGGCCTAGGTAGTTAGGCACCATCCCATTCACTCCAACATTTCGCAGCTCACTGTCCTCACATCCCTTCCAAGAGCTGTAGAGTCATGCCGGCTTAGCACTTTCTCCTCATAATGAACTATCCAGTAATACGTGTATCCATTGCTTACTATCCAGTAAGCAATGTTAAGGAAGCACTGTTAGGTAAACACATACAAACACCTTGCATACACATCTAGGTGAGGACACCCCCCCCCCTCCACCACCAACACCGACCCCCCCCCCCCACCCCCCTCATCCACACGATATGCCACTCGCGCTGAGAAGAATAAATAAACCCAAATGTCTGGACATCGTCAACTTTTAAACGAATTTAAACAAAATGTCAGAGGCACATGTACGAGTGGCATGTGTTTGCGTGCGTGCGTGCGTGCGTGCGTGCGTGTTCGTCTTTATACGGAGCACTGGATGTGGGTACCCGGTGGTGCCCGGGTTCAGAGCAAGCATTCTACACCATCTCCACCAATATTACATCTTCGCTTCTATTTCCTACCCTCTCCAAGGATTTCCTCCCCCCCCCCCACCTCCACTCAAAAAAAATCCCAAATTTCGTGATTTTCATCTTTAAACACACGCGCGCGGCCACCAAGAGTGCGCACGCATTTTCATAAATTGTAGCATTTAGTGTACATCTTGACTACATATGAACTACAACCACACTATTATAGCCGACTCTTCCTGAGTTCCTCGGGGGTCAACATAATTGAAATTTGTTCCCCCTAAGGTCCCTGGGATCCCCCGAGAATCCCAGAGACACACGAGACGTACGTTATATGCGACGCGCCATGTGACGGACGCACGCCGCATGTGGTCTCCAGAATCTGCTGTTTTAAAAACAGAAGAAGGAGGTCGTACGGTGACAACAAGCCGGCTCCAAGGAACGAATGAGCAAGGACGAGAGAGGGAACGTGAACTATAAGGGGGTGAATGGACGAGAGTTTGAGGGGCCAGCTGCCCGTTTTAGCCTTTTAAAATTAACAAAGGCTAAATTCTCGTCAATCCTGACGCCACGCTCATTGTTTATGAATGAAAAACGGTTTACACACGACTCACAACTCATGAGGTTACTTACTTTGATCATATTTTGTATGATCAATGTATGATCATCACACATCTAGGTATGATCAAGGTATGATCATCACACCATGTATGATCATACCTTACCATACGTTGTGGTTACCTTAGAACTACTAGTGAGTTAAGGCAGACCTTTGCAGGGGTTTATCCTCTACAGATCATCATCTATCTCTTATCTCCATTCTGGAAGTTGTTCTACTTCGTAAGCCCAGCCTGCCTTGTGATAACTTGGTCCAACAGGCTGTTGGTTGAAGCGGCCCGCAGGCCCACATATCCACCAAAACCCAGATGGTCTGGCACGTCTTGAAGGAACTAAATTGTTTCTTAAACATGTCCACTTTTGTTCCGGCAATATTTCTTGTGCTTGTTGAGAGGATACTGAATAGTCTTCATGGACCTCAGATGTACGTATGGCACATCTACTCTTCACTGGGTATATTTTGCACTTCTTACCATATCGCTCACTCCAGTATGCTATTTGACTGTGCAAATTTGGGACCTGGCCCTCCAGTATCTATTTGCGATGTATATATTAAGAAGGTTTTTACTTCACTCGTCCTAGTCTAGAGAGAACAAGTTGAAAAGTTCACTCATTTTACCTCTATCTCTGTAGTTTAGAACAGGTTGAAAGCTTTGAGATGGTCCTAAAAATTAGGTGTTTTACCGTGGGTGAGTGGATGAGGTAGTGAGTAGTGAAAGGAAGGGAACTATAAGGAGAAAGCGAGTGAGTGAGTGTTGATGGGTGAGCGAGTCAGGGCTGCTGGATGAGAGAGCGAGTGAAGGCTGGTGGGTGAGTGAGGGCTGGTGGGTGAGTGAGGGCTGGTGGGTGAGAGACCGAGTGAAGGCTGGTGGGTGAGTGAGGGCTGGTGGGCGAGTGAGGGCTGGTGGGTGAGAGAGCGAGTGAAGGCTGGTGGGTGAGGAAGTGTCACAATAAGTCCCTGGCCCTTGACAAACTCCAGACGTGGGCAGGAAAACGAATGTCACATTTCAGCCCCAACAGTTGTAAGGTTAAACAAATGGGAAAAGGACATTAGTAATTAAACCAGGAGGAATCTACACCATAAAGGAAGGCAATTACTGGAATCAGAAAGAGAGAAACATTCTGGAAATGAAGACATTTCCAGCACCGTCACCAGAGCGCACATAGAGCAGACGGCTCTCGCCAGGCCAACATTTAATAATAATAATAATAATAATAATAATTTTTATTTAGGCAAAGGTACATACATAAAGAGATTTTACAAAAAAAAATTTGAAAAATTTGAAAAAGCAACACCAGCGAGGAATTCAAACATCGTTAAAACCAAAATTAAACTTTGAAGAAGTGCTGAGGATAGCGTTAGCGACACCATTAAATCCTAAATTAAGGGACTAAGCTACGAAAATAGGTTAAGGGAGCACCAATCTCCCAACCCTAGAGGAGAAACGGAAGGGACATGATCACAGCGTACAAGATAATGAAGGGAAGAGTCAAGCTGGGACAAGAACAGCATCTTTAAAGTAAGATAAAATTGGAACAAGAGGACACATAGGTAGAACAATAGAAATGCAAATGAATCGAAGAAACTGATGGAAATATTACATTCACAATATCAACAGATATAAGAAAGGAAAGGAAGCTATCATGGGAAAGCGCCAAGCCATTACGACTATATAGCACTGGGAAGGGGTCAGGATAAGGATTTGGGATGGGACGGGGAGGGGGGGGGTAAGGAATGGTGTCCAACCACTTGGATGGTCGGGGATTGAACGCCGACCTGCAAGAAGAGAGACTGATGCCAACACCTACAAGGAACAGCATGACTTGTAGGCGAGGCAGAGAGAGAGAGAGATAGACCTCACTCATCCGGAGTCAGTGTTACTATACAAACGTCAGACTGCGAGCAGCGGCGTCTAACAGCCTGGTTGACCAGACAAGCAACCAGGATGCCAGGCCAGAGACCGGGCCTCGGGAACACTGATCTTCGGAACCAACTCGAGGTAACCTCTAGGTAGGCACACCTGTCTCGTTAACACCACACACCTGCGTCATGAACACCATTCCTGCGTCATGAACACCACACACCTGCGTCATGAACACCACACACCTGCGTCATGAACACCACACACCTGCGTCATGAACACCACACACCTGCGTCATGAACACCACACACCTGCGTCATGAACACCACACACCTGCGTCATGAACACCACACACCTGCTTCATGAACACCACACACCTGCGTCATGAACACCACACACCTGCGTCACCCACACC